TTTCCCTATAAATCCTCCATCAATAAAGCTACCAAAGGATCGATTTAATGAACCCTCAAAATCTTTAGTTGTCGTTGATTTTGTCTCTTTCTCCCAAATCTCAGATGGTCAATGTCCCTCCACTCGTGTTGGCCAGATGAATCAACCAGAGACTAGTATCAAGGAGTCCATGTGTGATCCTTCCATTTCCAAGTTTATGTTCAGCTCGATTTTTGTCATTGTTAGCATCATAATCTTGAATTTACTCGACTCAACATTTGAGGGACGAGTCATTGTGAAGCTATCACAAATAAATCTTAGCTAAATCGACCTAAAAAACTCAAAAATGCCATATGATTAATGTCAAAAAGTCCCATAAAAATTTAGATTGACCAACCTTTGAAAAAGGTTGGCTCTTTAAGGTGAATTACACTTCAAGAGACATGTTTAGAGATATTCTTGATAAGCAAAACATTGTTATGCTTTAATTTGACTGAATTATATCAAGATAAAACTGTTGTTAATTGTTGTTTCCTAACTAAAGCAATTTATAGTTTGACATGGAATACAATGAATCGTCATAAAAAAATGAGATAATTATCTCTTTACATTAAAAAAAAATTATGTGATAACAATAATTTAATCACTAAAAACCCAAAAGAAATGTGAAATCATGTAACCAATGATGAATAAGGTGAAAAAAGAATATATAAAAAGGTAAAAATGATATAATAGAGATTTTATATATCCATTTGTTAAAAGAAAAAAATGGTGTTAATATGAGAGTATCCTTGTCATATTCATAGAAGGAGATAATGAAAGTGGTCTAGTAATATTGGATCAACAAATCTTGGCTAAATTAATATTAATTATTCGTTAGAAACAATATCCCTGAAGTAAATTCAAGTTCTATTAGTTTCTCAAAAGGATAATGTATTATAAGAGTATGATAAAAATGTAAAACTGATTTGAGAGATCCGAAATAAAATACTTGAACAAAAGCACATAAATAAGTAATTCCGAAAAAAATACGCAAAGAACATTAAGATTTAAAGTGAAAAAAACACAAAAATAGGGAAAAATTTTCACGGAGCCACAACACATCAAGAAATTTACAATGATGAGAGAAATTGTACGTATTGCACCACACTCAATCTTCTCCACTCTCTTAGAACTCATGAATGCTCTTTTCCTTTCTCTTTCACATAAGAGAACTCACAGAAATCTGACACCAACTCATAGCACTGTTTTGCACTATTTGCACGCACCTCCCAAGCAAAGAAACATGAAACTTAAAGCCTTCAACTGGAGAAATCAATTATATGTGCCTCGGTGCTATTCACTTGAGTCGAGTTTTATGGTGCACTTTTCTAGAATGTTGGAAATGAGCCTTCCGTGTACCTAAGAACCCTTACTTGTGACGGGTTTTTTCATGGGAGCCTTTTGGGACAGCGCCTCTCCCGCACTAGGTTAACCTATGTCAAGTGCAAGAGAGCCCTTGGGCCTTGGGTTTTTCATTGTACTATACTTGGGCATTTCTTATTGTTAATTAAGCTCCACACATAATAATATCTCACATGAAAATTGATTTTCAATCACATATCCTCTAAATTTTCTCTTCCCTAAACTTGCATCATCTTCATAGTTGTGTATAGTAGTATGGTGAACCTTGGTCTTAGCTTTCATGAGCTCCAACTGAAGACAATCATAGCTTCAGCTTTTCAATTTAACTATATTAGTCAATATTATTGTAGGAGAATTAAAAAAGTGATAGATCAATAGAATTTGCTTCATCTTGGCATGAAAAATGGGATTTTTTTATAGATGCTCACACTGTCACTATGAAGCTTTCTAATCATTTACTTTTTGCTCAGTTATGTTATAGAGTTATGCAGCCAAATAACTTCCTTTCTAGCCTTAGTAACAACAATGTACTTAGTTTATTTGGCTGAAAGTGTAATAATGTTATGGAATAGATACCCAACTCATTGTTGTGTTCTCCAAAGTGAAGACAAACTACATTGTACTTTTTCTACCATCAATATCCACTATCATACCCAAATCACATATCCTTGTAGATTAATTCTTACACTTCCGAAATAAAGTGTATTGTTGATTTCTCCTTTCAAATATTTGAGAATCCACTTCACCCTCTTCCAATGATGTTTTTATGGATTACTCAAATACATGTTGACTACTCCCACAATGCAATATATGGTCTTATGCATATTATCGCATATATCAAACTTTCAACTATTGAAGCATATATAGTTCTTTTTATTTGTGCTTGCACTACTTCAGATTTGGGTTATACTTCCTTAGATAGCATGAAGTGACTATCTAAGGGGTCCAGAGTGATTTTGCTTCACTCATGTTGAATATATGTAAGCCCTTCTCATTATATATTGCCCAAGACAACTTCATGTACCTGCACACATGTCCCTATTGATTCTCATAACGAGCATCTTCTTGGTTGGACCTAAATCCTTCTTCTCAAAGTCCCTTAATATTTGTTCCTCCAAGTCCTTGGTCTTCGTCATATATGCTCATACAATCAAAATATTATCCACATATAATAGAAGTATGATATAACAATTACCAATATTTTTTTATGAAGTAAAAGTGATCTGCATTTTACTTCATGTGCGCATCATTTGCATAAACTCATCAAACACCTTATACCACTATCTTGAGACTTACTTAAAGCCCAAGGGCTTTTTTAAATATATAGATCATGTTTTTTTTTTTTTCTGAAACTTTAAATTCATGTTGTTGTATCATATACAACTCTTCTTCTAAGTTACCATAAAAGAAAGTTGTCTTCATATCCATCTACTCCATATATTTTTTTTTCTCAGCTACTAAGCTCAACATAACTTTAATAATTGTCACCTTTACTACTGTAAAAAATATCTCTGAGTAGTCAAGTTCTTCCTTTTACTGAAATTACTTCATAACATGACTTGCTTTGTGGTGCATGCTATCCATTGACTCTTCTTTGAGTCAAAAGACTAACTGATTGTGTAGTACATTTTTATCATTTGCTAGTTCAACCAAATATCATGTCTGACTTGATTTTAGTGAATGCATCTTGTCATCCATAGTAAACTCCCACTTATGTGAGTACTCAACTTGAGTGGCTTCTTTCATAGAACTCTGGTTCATCACTATTAGTTAACAAAAGATAGTATAAAAAAGGAAAATGCCTCTGTATCAATTGTGTAATTTTGTTGGATCTCCTAACTTTAGTAGTAGGTGACTTAGAAACTTCCTATGTTCCACAATATTGAGCACCTATCTTTTCTCCATTTTCTTAATTATTAGTCTATTCTAGCACAACATATTTGGAGGAGTCTTCAAAAGTAACTGATGGATAATCTTGAAATATGTTACTATCCTTGTACACTTTCATTTCATTGAAAGTAACATCTTTGACTCTAATGAATTGTTGATTCTGATAATCTCAGAATCTATACTCAATTTTATCTAAGTCGTATTCCATGAAAGTGCACTTGATTGATTTCAAATCGAGCTTACTTCTGAATCATGCATCAAGATTAACATATGATGAATAATTAAATATTCTCACGAGAGATAGATTTGCCTCCTTGTTACTCCAAGTTTCTTCATGTAAGCATTCATTTGAAGGTACTTATAGGATGCGATTGATTAGATAAACTATGTACAATGTCACCGCTTCTACTCAAAATTATCTTGGCAGGAACGCATGCAATCTCATGCTCCTGACATGCTTTATGATGGCTCTTTTGATGCGCCTATCACGTCATTTTGTTTCGGTGTCATTAGAAGACTAAAATCATGCATGATTTCTTATGATGCACAATAAATCTTAAACCTCTGGTCACAAATACTCGATATCAT